CGAGCGAGATAATGGTGGAGGCTAGAATGTCAGGGAATTGCTACCCGGTGAGGTGATGTCGAGCTCGAAATATTCAACGTATGTATACCACCTGCCACCAGCTGCCCGGCAGGATATCACCCCCTGAAATAGGTGCGCTGCTCAGAGGTTAAAACCGTATGGTAGTTGGTGACTTCAATGCGCACCACGAACTTTGGCATTCAAGCCTGTCAAACGATCGTAGGGGAACACAATTGGCTGAGCAGATAGATGACTCGACATTCTGCACAATGAACGACGACGCACCCACCAGGATTATGGGCAGCTACTGCAGCTCGCCAGACCTAACAATAGTCAGCGCTGTTCTGATAAACAGTATCATGGCGACCTCTGCTGATTTTAGCATCGGACCATCTGCCCATAATCATCTCGATTGATAAACCAGCCGACTTTGCCTCCGTAGATCACCGGACCTATGTCTACTTTTCTAAAGCTTATTGGAAAATCTTCGCGGATGTTACTGAAAGCGCCTTCGCTGCACTACCCATACCAACCGACGTTCACGTAGGTGAACGTAAATTCCACAGGGTTGTCACTGCTGCTGCAGCCCGCTTCATCCCAGCGGGATGCATCTCGGACCCTCCTCCGAATTTTCCAGCTGAAGCGGCTGTCCTAGCGATGAGTGCGACAACCTTCGTCAGGCCGATCCCTAAAATCCCCGTATTAGGGATCTCATCTCGGAGATTCGGCAACTTGTAAGCGGAAGAAATGGGAAGAGCATCTGAAGACCTGCAACTTCGCCTCTGGTGTGCGTAAGCTTTGGTCAACCGAGAGATCATTGTCCAACCCGCCGAAGCGTGCCGACAGAGTTGAAATAGACTTTGGTGAACACACTTCGTCGAACCCGGAGCGATGCGTGAGCTATTTTAGCTGACAGTTCATCTAACATCCTTCGGAGGATAAAGCCAAACGTCGAGTGACCAAAAGGCTGCACAAACTGCCAAAACCTAGTGCGCCTCTTGTTTTCAAAAGCGGTGAGGTAAGGGTAGCCACCGGGAAGGAGAAAGCCTCCAAAGCCATTGGCCCCGACGGAATATACATGCTGATGCTGAAAAACTTGGGTCCTACGGGAGTAGCGTACCTAACGGAGGTCCCCAATTTGTCAATGGCCCCTCTCGTCATTCCAGACATCTGGGAAATGGGGAGACCGGTCCCACTGCTCAAACCGGGGAAACCAGCCAACACCCTCTTTTCCCCGGTAGCGAAGACACTAAAGGCTTTGCTACTGCCGTATTTTACAAACCACCTGACTAGCGAAGCATCAGCATGGGTTCCGTAAAGTGCATAGCACAACAACAGCACTTAACGCCATAAATACCCAGATAACTCGGGGGCCTAAACCGAAAGCGCCCCTGTGAGAGAACCATTCTAGCAGCGCTGGACCTGTCTAAGGCGTTTGACACTGTCAGCCATTCAACGCTACTAGAAGACATAGAGGCCTCGTGTCTCCCACAGGGACTCAAACGGCGAATTACCAGAGTGGTCGTCACTCATCAGTAACTTTTAGAGACAAATCGAGCACACCGAGGAAAATAATACAGGGGGTTCCACAGGTTGGTGTCCTTTTCCCATTGCTGTTTAACTTTTACATTTCAAAGCTCCCTGAACCACTAGAGGGAGTCTCGATTGTCTCTTATGCTGACGACTGCTCGATCATAGCGTCCGGGAATGGAATTGATGACTTGTTCTCGAAAGTTAACGGTTATTTCGCCGAGCTTTCTCGCTTCTTCACTGCACGGAGCGTAACCGTCTCCCCTACAAAATCCTGAGCCACACTATTTTCCACCTGGACGAAGGAGGTCAGACTCCAACTGGGAATTCACGTCGATGATATACCAAGCCGACGATACTCGGAGTAATATTCGATAGTCTGCTCTCCTTCTCGGCGCATACAACCGCAATGGTCAACAAAGTACAAAGCCGCAACAAGGTCCTCAAGTCGCTAGCCGCCAAAGACAAAGAAACGTTGCTGGCAACGTACAAGACAATTGGCCGGCCGGTTCTGAACTACGCTGCGCCCGCGTGGTCACCGGGGACTAGTAGGACGCAGTGGATAAAGTTGCAGACTAGCCAGAACACGGCACTGAGGACAGCGGCAGGATGCTTCCATCCAAACAGGCAACGCCTTGCTCTCGCCCAGGCACGTCAGGAGGCATCTCTACGAACTGACGGACGAAGTCCAGAGGTTCACCGAACAACCTCTGGATCCGACAGCTTAACGACAGGCCTTGAATAGCATTCACAGAGAGGCAGTCTAGAGTTATGTAGACTCCCGACCTGTGAATGCCTTTATCGGCATACAACCACCAGACGTGTACGAGACAGAACTTCGTCTGCCTCGGGAGACTCGGACCACAATAGCCCAACTGCGCTCCGGTTACTGCAGCACGTTGAACTCATACTTGAGCAGATTAAACTAAAATATTCCCAATGAATGCCCGGCAAGCGGAGAGTCGCCCCATGACTCGCAGCATCTCTTCGTATACCCTCTAAATCCGACCACGCTAACGTCCTGTTCCTATGGATAGACCCAGTCGGGGATGCACACTTCCTAGAGCTGCCGTTAGTAGAGCTTGACGACAACGATTGAAAGACTAACCAATCTGGGCGGGGTTGTTGTAGCGGCTACGACAACAGCAACAATATATTTGGACTCCATTTGCCCTGCTACCATTTTTCTATGTTATTTAACTTAAATAAATATCACGATATTTGAAAACAATAATATTAAAATATTTGTTCAAACGGAACATTTGAAAATATGTACGCAGTAGCTGAGCGTGCGACTATTTGTAATCTTTCATGAGGTACCAGGTTCGTATTCCGGCAGACGAACATATTTACAAGTATTTATAAAAATATAATTAATTGCTGAGTATAATTAGCTATGAAAAAGCTAATGTGAAGTTCAGAATAAAAAATTTCAGAAAAACAGCCGGAAAACTATTCGTTTCACAACCATTCGTGGCACTTTTCTATTTACCTTTCTGTCACTTTTCGGATACTTTTCCGGATTTTTTTCTGGCAGTACACATATATTTACATACAAGCATATACAGATTATTAATGACGATCTAAATTACACTGTGTGACCAAAAAAACTTAATATACTTTTTCGAGGTTCACACGTGTTTTAGGTCTAATGAAGCAGAAAAATCTGCATACTGAGAATTTTAAATACACCCTCAAAATTTGGGCTTAACGTCGTACTTTATCTGAAATCCTTAAAGCAGTGGTTCAGTTATGATCCTGACCAAATCCCTACTTGTATTCTTATAAATTGCGCTGATTATCTCTATGAGCCGTTAACTGCGTCATTTAATTTGTCTCTTAAAGAGAGCGTTTTTCCCACTATATAGAAGGAATCGTTCATAACCCCGTTACATAACAGCGGTAGCAGATCTTCAGTGGAGAACTACCGGGGAATAGCTAAGCTTTCTGCAATTCCTAAATTATTTGAAGAAATTATAACAAATCAGTTGACGCATTCTATCTCTTCTAGCATTTCATATAGTCAACATGAATTGTGCAAGGGCAAATCAACTTCTACAAAATTTACTTGAATTAACATCCTATATCTCAAAAGCATTTAGTGAAAGCAAAACTGTTGATGTTATATGTATATACTGACTTCAGTAAAGCAAAGTGTGCCACTCGTTGCTCATCTACAAACTTGATCTTCTTGGTCTTCCACCTAATTTTCTACGTTGGATCTCTTCATACCTCTACGATAGATCACAAAGGGTAATGTTTAAAAATACTATCTCTGACGTCATTGATGTTACTTCAGCAGTCCCTCAAGGTAGCCACCTAGGTCCGATTTTGTATGCAGATGTTGTAAAGCTTTACAAATCTTACATTTCAATTATAGAAAGGTCTTTGCTACAATCAGACTTAAACAGCATGGCTTACTGGTGTCAAGTAAATCTTATGCCTCTAAATCTTAAGAAATGTAGAGTAATGTGCTTCTCGCGAAGAGCTGTTCATCCCGCTTCTTATACAATAGGTAACCATAACCTGGAACAGGTATACAATTTTGTGGACCTTGGTATCACAATGGATCCTAAGCTTAATTTTAATCTTCATATTAATGTGACAGCCAACATGGCTAAAGGTGCACTTGCATTTGTGAAACGATGGTCAAAATAATTTTTTGACCCTTATATCACTAAAACCCTGTTTGCAACATTAGTAAGGCCAATTTTGGAATACGTTTCGGTGGTTTGGAATCCAAGGTATCAAATTTACTCAGATATCTCAGAATTAAATTTACTCAATTCAAAAACAATTGCTACTTTTTGCTTTAAGAAATTTCCGTTGGGATTGTCAATATAACCTTCCACCTTATACGAGCCGATTAAAACTTATAAATCTTCCTTCACTTTCCAGCCGCAGGCAAATGCTTGGTACAATTTTTATAGTTAAATTACTAACAGGCTCAATTTCAAGTCCGCTTCTTCTGGGCGAAGTTAGCCTTAATGTTCCCTCCCGGGTATTAAGACACTTTTGTACCCTATTTCTGAAAACTTGTAAAACTAGTTTTGAATTGCATGACCCACTCAGTTGCTTATGCCAGGATTTTAACTCTCATTCCAGCACATTTGATATATCAGATCCGCTTTTCAGCATTAAGAATTCGATACTGTCCTCTCTCAATAAATGAATAATTAAAATAAAGGCATAAAATCGGCTGATGTATTTAGTTCTGTAGCTGAACAGTTTTAGATCTCGACAATTAACAAACTCCTGCCTATCGTGACTCGGCGCAAAAATTGAAAATACTGGCTCCGTATGTCACGCGGACTGCGCCCCTCGTGCGGATGGGCGGGAATGGAGGGTAAAAAAATCCATTAGGATTATAAAAAAAGGGAAATTTGCTACGCTTTTACGTTTACATAAGTATAAACATATGTAAGTACGTATTTCCACCTTAATATCAAACTTCTGTCCTCACAACTTACCAAGCTATGTGATAACTTAACGTTGATCCGAAGGCACGCTCTTCATTATTTATAAGCAATTTAATTGTTGTATTATCCTCAACGCCATCTAAAACATTCTGAGCCATTTGAATAAGTTTGTAGTCAGCACGCTTTTCCAACTGGAAATCCTGAGGTATGGAGCCTCCTACAATATTTGTACCAGGCCTTAACTCCAAAGCATTTTTTAACAGCAGAGAGAAGTTTAAAGAGTTCGATTTGCTGCTTCCTTTTCTAGATACTTGAAGTAAATCTGTTCGTCCGATTAAATCTTGAAATCGACGAATCCCCAATTCCGCCATGATATTACGAATCTGCAATCATAATAATATTAGTAATTTTTTGTAATCAGCTTGCAAAAGAATCCTAGCTACAAAGCAAGACAAAATTTTATTAAGGACCTGGGTCCAAATTACGGCATTCGTATTCGAACGTAATGAAATTGTAACGGCTTTTCCTCTAATGATATTCAAATTTACGAAGCGCACTTATTATCGAGGGCCGCGATTCCAAAATCACATTTCGAGTCGAGTTTCATTCGAAATCGACTGCATTTATTTGGACCCTGGCACGAACCGTTACAGTAGTGAACGAGTTCAAAATCGTACGAACAAAATTTCGTGACTCGTCAGTCGCCTGAGTAATTTATTTGTCAGCATTCTGAATAACATTTTTCGGTTACAATAGACACTGGTCTGGGCTCGAATCGTAACAGTCGTGAACGAGCAACTCGTCACGCAAAAATGCTTATTTTTTGTTTATAACAGTCGTGAACGTAATGCTCGTTTTATAATTCGGTTTACGAGACGAACAGTACGTTCACGACTTTTATAAACCTAAATATTAATTTTGATGTGACGAGTTGCTCGTTCACGACTGTTACGATTCGATCCATGTATTTTTTTTTTAAGAAAATTACATATATTTTAATCAATGTAATCATGTAATTTTAGTGCTTCATTTGGGCGGTTGCAAAGAATTGGTCTTATCGCGAATTTCGCGTGAATAACTATTTCCAAAAATTATAAAGAAAAACAAAAACAATTTTTCCTAATTTGTTTTTGTTTTGCGTGCTAAATTATGAGAACGATTTATTTACATGGAATTAGTGGTAAGACAATGGTGTACAGAATATGTTGAAACTTTACTTCCAAAAGGATTACGTCACGCTTGTTTCAACAACCGGTTGTACCGGCTACCCATTTCGAAAAAAAACCTACAATAAGATAATAAAACGAAAATATAGATTTATTGGATACTGGCCGGCCGCGGATGCGCGAGGCTTCGTCACGCGCTGAATGTATGCATATGTATGTATTTACGTATTTGGAGAAAGAAATCATATGTCATCATGTACTTCGTTTATTATATACTTAAAAAATCTTGCCTAAATCTGTTAAGTAGCGTGGTCAGAATATCTCGCCTTTCCTCTTACTATGTATAGAGGCTAAGTCTTTTCATTTGACAGTGACGATGCGGAACTGACGCCTAGGCTTATTAGGATTGAATATAGTATATTTCTTAACAGGTGGCAACCATATTAAAAAAATAAGACATTCGTGATTTTCTAGAGACCAATCGCTTTCATTTGACACCTAATTTTTTGTAATCCAACGAACGGTGCGGATCTTATAGTTTTTATACAGGTGGCAACCCTATTAAAATTCTATATAAAAAGGTCACTCTCTTATCGATACAGAGTATATTAGAGAAAATCTCGTCAAAATCCGTTCAGTAGTTTTTAAGATTACCGTGTACAAAGAACTTTCCTTTATACTATGTATCGATTCACTGAATCAGTGTCTGAAGTCAGCACGTCTAACAGTGTGGCGACTAGAACAAGTTAGCTGGACAAAATTATTTTATTAGTGTTTAGGAAAGATACTAAAAGTTTGCATCGGAATTCAGTTTGCCTCACTGTGAAGTTTTTTTCATACATCTAAATTACTCACACTAACAAAGAGGGCATGGGAGGAACAGATGTGAAGATTTCGAGCCTGTATACATGATAAAAGTTGTCAAACAAAATATGTTCCGAAAAAAAGAGAAACATAAACAAGCAGTACCATGCTGTTAAGCTCGTGTAAAGTTAGCAAGCATTTTTTGTTAAAGTTACTTTTTAATCAGAGTTCCTGACAAGATAATAGTTCTACAGTTCCATAATCAAATGTTCAATAGTTCTGTTAATTAAAGCCAAAAAAGCTAAAAACAAAACTAAAATGCTTAATAACTTCACGCAGCAAGCCTTTTCTTCAGGAAAAACAGTTCTGATACCACCAACTTGCGAGAAATAAAGAGTTCTACAGTTCCTTAATAGTCGCGAAGTTTTGAAAAAAAGGACACTAAAATTTATTTTTTTAATTACTTTTTAATCAGAGCTCCTGACAGCAAGGCAATAGTTCTACAGTTACCTAACCAAAATTTCAATAGTTTTGTTAATTTAACCAAAAAAAGCTAAAAAACAAAAATCGCTAGCTAACTTCACGCGCAAGCCTTTATTCAGCAAAAACGGATCTGATATCACCAACTTACAAGAAATAAAGAGTTCTACAGTTCCCTAATAGTCCCGAAAAAAGTTCCGCGAAATCCAAAAGAAAGAAAAGAAAAATTGTTCCATACATTTTTTTTGTAATTACTTTTTAATCAGAGTTCCTACAAAACTGCATACTCAAAATCTTTCTAAGGGCCGTTTTCTCAAGTAGTTCTAAAAATTTATCTGCCCTTTAAAAAAAAAAAATTTGTTCTCCAAAAATGTGTTGAGGGCAGGTAAATTCTAAAAGGTACTTACTCGTAATTTCTACCAGTTTGTTTATTTTTTTTTTTAATATTGCTCAATGGTTGAACCTTTCATTTATATTGTTTCTGTTAAAAAATGGACTATATTCTTATGAAAAATAACTAAAATTAAATAAAGAAAAAATTGTGAAAACTTCTTAATATGTGGGGTGGCTGTAATTTTTTCTACCACTGTATTATAATAAACGTATGGCAATGCCATCCTATAGGTACGGTGACCATATTAACCAACGTAAAATAAAGGATTTTTTTTCAAAACGATTTGGGAATACGCACATACAACTTGTATGATAAAAGTACCTTACCCATATAGTAATTTAAATCAAATGTTTACTAGTTAATTATATTATTGAATTGTACAAGTTTCCCTGCTGTACCGAAAAACGAAGCCAAATCCTTTTCAAGGACTTCGCCATTCTTAGCTACCAAAATGCGTTTACCATAATTCATACTTTATGACGAAGCCAGTACGCAGTGGTTAAAAATTGGAATTTAATGTTCATAATGCCTTCATTTTGCCCGCAATGGGTTGTGCGCTGGGCTTGGGACCCGCCACGTAAAAACCACTTCCAGTGAAGAAGCAAGGCAAAGCCTCGGATGAGACCCCCCTTCTGATGACGACCACGGCAAACGTTTAAAGGACTACGATTTGAGGGCATGCAATTGGAATGTCCGGACCTTAATGGTGAAGGTGGCTCTGCCCGGCTGATTGATGTCCTCGTAAGGACAAAAGCTGACATCACCGCCATCCAAGAAATGCGTTGGACGGGGCAAGGCAAACAATGTCTGGGGCCTTGCGACGTCTACTACAGCTGCCATGTAAAGGAGCGCAAATTCGGTGTTGGATTTGTGGTGGGAGAGAGACTCCGTCGCCGAGTACTGTCGTTCACCCCGGTGGACGAGCGTCTAGCCACAATCCGCATCAAAGCGAGATTCTTCAACATCTCGCTCATCTGCGCCCATGCCCCGACGGAAGAGAAGGATGAGGCATCCAAGGATCTCTTCTATGAG